CAGCGTGCAGTGCGCCTCGCGGTTATTCGGCGTACGCAGAGGCAGGCGTGAATTAGCTGCAGATTGGTGCAGGCTCATTCACATTTTCGTTTGCTCGCATAGCGCGCTTGTACGTTGCTTACGCTTGCTATGCAGAGCAATACAATAACTCCGCAGCAAATGAATGTTAAATGATGAAGTTTCTGCCTACTGTGTGTCTGTTTTCAAATAAAACACGCACACACACACATGCACACCAACACACACACACACACACACACACCACACACACACACAACACACGCCACGCACGCACGCACGCACGCAACGCACGCCCACGCACGCACGCACGCACGCACGCACGCCACACACACACACACACACACATATATATATATATATATATATTATATATATATATATATATATATATATACATACATGAAACTATAAGGTGGTTTCTGCTACTTTGATTGGAGGATTTTATTGATACCGCGTGAATAAAAGGTAGGGAAGAAGGTAGACATTATAGTGGGGTTGGAAGTGTGAGAGTAGATAGTAGGAGAGCAGGTAGTGAATTCAGGTAGGCCTACGTGACGAATACAGACAAATTTGTATAATAATACTTGGCAGCGTATGTTACGCGGGAAATACCCAGTTCTCTGAAATGTTTCAAGTGCCTGAGGATGCAAGCAATTTAGCCAAATTAGCTCAAACACCCTACTACCATTTTTAACATCGTTGTTTTGTGTTTCAGTATTATTTCAGTCTTATAGCCTTTTGGATACAGTAATTAATGATAACAGAAGTTAATCAATGCCGCCATTTCATTTTAGCAAACGAAGAAAGAGGAACGCGGTCATCCTGTCGCATGATTTACAGTCGGAGACAGCAAGCAGTTACGCGTTTGGTTACGCGAACGAGCCTGGTGCCACACTTTGTCAGAGTACGGTTAGCACAATCACATACGAGGACAGAATTAGGTGGGCCTCGATATCCGAGCTTGTGAAGGAGTATAATGTAAGTCTATGCTGCCGTTTACACGCGTAATCACCTTCTTTTATGTATCATGTAAGGATATCACAAATTTTGATTAGTTTTCCTGGCATAAATGATCATTGTCAGATTAATGTAATACCGCAAAGCTACAAATGAAACTTAACGTTTGATTATTCTACTGTCGAGTTAGAAAAAATTCGGCAGCTCTGAAGAAGAATCGATCGAGATGGAAGATTCGACCTCCGATCCGGATGTGACGCAAAACATTCGTCACTCACCGCCGCCGTCGCAGTTTCTGCCGAAAACCAGGTCGCGAGCCAGCATGAACTCATCGAACCACATACTGGGACCGTTCGGCAGCAAACAGTGTAAAGGTGAGGGAAACAAATCCATACGAGCCATGCTATCCCGCCACATGGTGGGATTACAGACAAGCGCAGCGGGTATATCTTTAGGATACGACTGTAAAAGGGCTTTGATTATACCTGTATGGAACTAGTCAATATATAATGTATTAAATCGTATAATTTACTATAATACTGTACATAATAATAATTTACTAATCATGTAAAAGGAACATGCGTGCGAATCACCATATTTCGACTTGATGCATACATTAATTGTAACTAACGCGGTTTCTCTTTACATGATCTGTTCCATTTACATGGTGTTCCGTTTACATGGTTCTGAGCTTAAAGTGATTACGTCACCGTAAATAGTAAAAAAAAAATATAAGTAATTCTGTTCACTTTTTATGGTTAAATTACTGCATTATACTTCCTATTTTACTATATTGTTGGATGTGAACATACACTCGTGACTCATACATAGCCCATAGCAAGCAATTAATGTCAGGAACATAATAACAAATCGTCCAGGTTTTTTGGATTTTTAACTAGTTGAGAAACAATCTTATCAGGTAAGAATTTGACGATACGTTTAGTCCCGTTAGTTCTTACGTTTAATGTAAAAAAATGGCAACAAAATATTTACAAATATTACCATAGAAAATTTGTGACGTAGTCAATTTAAGCATAGAAGAACCACCGTCGGAAAAAATAATAGCTCGTCTATAGTATGCAATCCTCCCTAATATGATATGCGCCGAAACATTGATTAGTGAACTTTGTAGCTCTTCCGTATAGCAACGATGTTAGTTCGTTCTGACAGGGGGTGACGTCATTAACCACCCGTGCAACTATTTTGGATTTGATTAGATGTATGTACGGCTAGAAAACTGCATTCTTTGTCTTCTCTCTACAAGTGAAACTCACCGATCTTTCGTTTCAGCAACGTGCTTGAACACGACAACTGAGAATGGCCACAATGCTACCCACATTGGCCGTGATTCAGCAGATGACGTCCTCGCGTCACCAACTACGATGTCAGAACGGATGACGACTGCCGCCCCGCATTCGAATCGAACCGTGATTGACAACGCGCGCAAGGCGGCCGCACATAGCGATGCGGACGCCGAACAGTTCCACGCTGATCAGGATTCTATCGCGACGGCATTTCACGAAGACGCCGAGAGTACAGCTCCGTCAACGAAGGCGGATGATACATTGCCCGATGCAGTGTCACGTACTGCTAGTTACGTGGGCGTGGTCGACAGCGCGATAGGAACGTCAGACTACAGTGTCAGAGGAGATGTGGTGCCTGGTCTCGACCATGGGCCACCTGACCATGGCGCATCGAAAACACCGGTGGACACGTTTTCAATTTCGTCGACCATAAGCAAATCCGAGTATATACAGCAAAACGCTACCGTGGGTTCTCTACAGAGGGACAGCGATAATCAAGATGCTGTTAACTCACATACAGATGTACCGTTTTATGCCATCCTACCATCCTCTAATGACACGGATAGTAACGCGACAGGGTCCAGCGATCCGAGCAGGGATTTGCTTACGATGATAGAGGAAGTAACGTCCGGTGTATACCCTCCGATTTCGGTCGGAACAGTGCCGTCGCCAGATGGCGTTGCTGCCACTGGTCATGACCACATGTTAACAACCCGGACGCAGCAGGCTGACGTGCCTGTCGTTACAAGCGCATCGGTAACCGCGAGGTTAGCGTTGCCGAATAAGGAAGCAGTCAGAAACGCGTCTTCGTCACGGGAAACACATGTGAAACCAGAGGCTATGATTACGAATCCAACTCGTCTACCGGTCTTTGCAGCCATGCGGTCTATGAAGGCAACAGCAACGACGGAAACCATGACAATGACAACAGTATCACCGACGCGTGCTCGGCTAAATATGGTTTCGCCGATCGCTTTGGCAACAGCGGTAAATACAGGCGACACGACTATCTCTGCAACGTCTATTAGTACTACACCCACACCCACGAATCCTCTACCTGGCTCGCTCCTGTCTTCAGAACAAGGGTCTATTATTAACGACTTTTCTTCACCCGCGATTCCTGCTGTCGTCGATCCCTCGGCTGACGTAGTTCCTGTGACGTTGCCCACCACAGACACGTTTCGTACCAATCGCGTGACTGTGGAGTACTCCGATAACAGACCAGTGCACGAAGCGACGTCTACGTCGGTATGGACTACGGAGACAGTAGGCGTACACCCACAAACTACAGAGACAGTAGGCGTACACCCCCAAACTACAGAGACAGTAGGCGTACACCCCCAAACTACAGAAACAGTAGGCGTACACCCCCAAAGTACGGAGACAGTAGGCGTACACCCCCAAACTACGGAGACAGTAGGCGTACACACCCAAACAACGGAGACAGTAGGCGTACACCCCCAAACTACGGTCATGCTGAACGATTATAAACAATACCTAATAATACTATATATATATATATACATATATATACATATATATGTATATATATACTTAAGTTATTGCTAATAGCAAATTTATTTTGAAGTAGAGTATATGCACGGTACACTCACTAGATAGAACGCTCTTCTCAGAATCGTCACGTGGGAAGGGAGACTCGTGCCTTAAATGGCTTGTAAATTTGTTTCTCGTAATGCGAATTCAATGTTAATATATACAGATTACATGCTATTATTATTAAATCGTTGCAATCTATGCAAATTGTCATAATTGTGATCGCGGCGAATTATGACACGTCATAAAATATGTGCTTGCCTCGTTTATGCGTGTAGATATGATAGGATATGTATATTGAGTAATGACAGGCGTTATTTACATATAATCCTGTATTAAAAAAGTTTCCGTTTTGTAATCGTTTTCATACAATCTTTACATATGATATCCTTCTGTTACTGTACGGTACAATCGAGGAGCCAACACCACCATAATAGATTAATAATTTATCAGCATTAATAAGTCTTTCGTTAGTCTTGTAATTTAGATGTAATTAAAACTGAATTAAGATCGCTCTTGATGTTATATATTTTTTTATCATGGATAGTAAAGCATAAGTACAATCATAAACAATAAACATTCATTCATTCATTCATTTAATCGTTCGTTTGCTTGTTCGGTCGGCCAGTCAGTCGTTCGTCCGTTCCTTCCTTCGTTTCTTTCTTACTTTCGTTCTTCGTTCATTCGTTGTTCGTTCATTCGTTCGTTTGTTCTACCTTCTTTCCTTCCTTCATTTATTCATGCATTAAATAATTCATACATTTGCTGTTGTACCGGCGTTAACTTCTGTAAATAGGATGGACGATGTTTACAACATTATTGACTTAATTAATATACATACCTTACATAATTTTTCTTTGTTGGCTTTGTTTGTGATATGTATGAATGTTTTAGGATTGGAAATTTGATAGAGAATGATGTAGGACAAAGTGTGGCATTCTGTGGCTCTACACTGAGCAGTAGACGGGGGTTTCTAACTATTATAATGCACGGACTGTTGCTGTTGGTAATTGCGAATTATTCGACTTCATAAGACGATAGAATCATGAAATCATTACAAGTCAGTGACTAGAAGCTATACTCTCGTACGAAGCAATTTAGTTTTAAATTGATACGATAGCGCCGAGTACCTCAGAGATTTTGCACAAATAGGTGTTTTACTTTGCCAGTGTCTGTAGAACCCCACAGTACTGAGCCAGTGCCCGTACATCACCACAGTACCGCGTCTGTGCCCGTACAACGCCGCAGTACCTCGTCCGTGCCTGTACAACACCACAGTACTGAGCCAGTGTCTGTAGAACCCCACAGTACCGAGTCTGTGCCTGTAGAACACCACAGTACCGCGTCTGAGCCTGTACAACACCACAGTACCGAGCCAGTAGCAGAACATAATGGCACACCTGAGTCGGTGCTAAAACCGAACTACTATACGCAGATTTACGTACCGCGCACCTTTACTACAGGAGGTGACCTGACTACAGTGCTGCCCTCTATCACTGCGATCTTGGGCGGGTCAATCTCACGAGATGTCGAGTCGTTGACAACGACAGCTGTGTCGAGTTCTGTGAGAAAGAACACTTTTAGTTGGCAATCGCAAGGGGTTGCAAGCACGCGTGCAGACGTATCAACGCAGAGATCTGTGCCAAAGGTAACACGGCCGCAATCATCTACCTCGTCCTTAGAAAGCGCGGCAGCAGAAACACATAGAGGCGGAGTAGAATTTGTGAGCGAAGCCAGCAAAACCGAAGCACCTGCGTTCGTGTCAGAAGTACCGGTAACAACCTCTAGTTGGGAGACATTAGCAATTGATCCAAGTAGAAAGACTACATACCGACCTGGGAGAATGGTGGGCACGACAACTACACGGAACGTCGTTAGTACGACCAGTGGACGTGGGCTCGTCGAGAAGGTTGCGCTAGACATCGGCAGGAATCGCCCTGTTTCCTCTTCGCCGCATCTAGAAGAAGATAGTACCGCACCTAGCGGACTACCAATTGAACCGTCAGGTACTGAAGCTGCGGGCAGCTATAGAGAGAAGGCGGGTGCTGGGGAGTCGCTTCGTCCAAGCAGCGTAGAGCGGATGTGCTCGCGAGGCGATGTCTCCAATTGCCGTGTCTGGAACAGCGAGTGGTGTAGCACAGGAGCTAGTGTGCAAGGAGTGTGCGTGTGCATGCCGGGCTACGCCCGGAAAGCAACGACGAGCGAGTGCCTAGGTGAGTATGCGTTTTGTCTTCTATATGGTTAGATATCTTTTTAACCCGCTCTTTTCCGAATATTCACAGGTTATCGAATTTCCGGATCTTGATGCATGCCGACCGAAATTGGTCCACGTGTATCTGTGCCATCGCTGCAAACTAAGCAGATGTGTGTTGTATCTACCTAAATCCTGCTAGTTTTAATGTCAGATAACTAACTATGAATCAGAATGTTTATTGAAGGTAATCGAGTCATTGTGAGCAATTCTGTGTATGAGTAAAGAAATATGCAGCGCGCGTGTCATGACGCTGACTTAATTAATCTTTCATTCGGCAATGTTTTAGAGTCGCGTTCGTACACGCTTCTCATTCGACTCTATCGATATGACGGAAAGCTGTTGCGCTTCACGCGCGTCTACGAAGACACAAACTCCGCAGAATACATCAAGATGAAGATATTATCGGAGAACGCTGTAAGTACCATTAGCCTGTCCGAACCAATACCCGGACAAAATCCCAAATAATTTTTTCGCATTAAAATAGCATGCCACAAGCTTTTATTATTTTATTTGTACAAGAATTTGTGTTTTCTTATCTAAAGTAACACTTATGATATTAAAATCAGCCAATAGGTGGCGATGAGTCCTGCCTGACACATGCAGTTGTATGCCTAGCCACAAAAAATAGTACGTTGTTGGGTTTCACGCACGCACGCACGCACGCACGCACGCGACGCATACACGCACTCAGCCGCACAGCACCCACACGCACTAGCACGCACCGGCACTGCACACAAACACATACACACAAACGCGGCACACACAACCACCACACACGCACGCACGCACGCACACAAATATATATATATATAATTATAAATAAATAAATAAATAAATATAATATTTATATAAATGAGCAGGTTCATCATCCATATAATTATAATTATATATATATATATAAACCGCTCATTTATTGCGTGGTACTCCCGGGTACAGATTAGCAGTGCCTACGGGCTACGTGACGCGGTGGCGCAACACTTCCTCGGCGCCGTCGTCGTCGGATTTCTACCTGGCAGTCTCATCGTCAACACAACCGTCAGTGTCGCCAGCCGCTCACGAGTGAAAGCCTCAGATCTCGTCACCGAATTGCAGCGCTCCCTACTGGCGACAAACAACAGAGTCGGCAGCAGTAAGCTGTTTGTCGCCAGTCCCGTTGACGCCGTGGCTAGGATCGAAGGTAAGAAGGGAGTAGGCGGGAAATAAAGCGATGAGATCAAATGCAAAACATGAGTAGGCAGGGCAATGAAAGGATGTGATCGAAGGGAAGAAAGGGGTAAGCAGGAAAATGAAAGGATTAGGGCGAGATCGAAGGCGAGGAAGAGGTAAAAGAGAGGAGAGCAAAGCGCGGCAGGAACTGTATGACATCGGCGTGACATCGCGACATTTTAAACCAGGAGTGGCGTTAATATTGTGCTTCAGATTACGACGAATGCGCCGACTCTAGTCAAAACGACTGTTCTAAGAACGCATACTGCCTCAACGAGGACGGTTCCTTCACGTGTGCCTGCGCGAGGGACCACGTCGATGAATCACCGGCCCCGGCCAATCGTCCCGGACGTATATGCGTTCGTAAGTACCGCATCTCAGTCAGTATAAAAATGCTATTAATTAAATTAAAGTTAGAAAAGAACATCACTACTACACCGAAGGGTGTTTGCAAATAGTAATAAACAGTATAATACATACTATAATCTCTATTGGAGGCGTTTCCTTGTCAATATTACATGATGAATGTGATAAGCTGGTTGCAGTATGCGATAAGAAACTTGCAGATAAGTGATGCATGGCATATATCTGATGTTTTTTTTTATCACAGCCAGCGGCGAGCTGCAATGTCCAGCCGCCAACTGCAATAATAATGGACGTTGTCGCCTGAACAATGGCGTCGAAGACTGCGTGTAAGTTTATTTCATACGTGTGTTTGTGTGTGTGCGTGCGCGCGTGCCCGCGTGCGTGCCCGCGTGCGTGCGTGCGTGCGTGCGTGCGTGCGTGCGTGCGCGCGCGTGCTTGTGCTAGTGCGCGCTTGGGTGTTATCGTTCAGAAATATAGTGTGCTAAAATGCGCTAAACCTCTTTGTTGCAGGTGTGAAGACTGGTATATAGGAGGAAACTGTCAGCTAAATGTTCGTGGTAAGAGCAATGATAATAATATGTGAAGTTTGTTAATTTCGAACACAGTTACGATGAGAGCAGCAAGTTTTATACCGTAGTAAACCATCTCCACCACCCAATTAACATATGAGCATAGAAGGGCATTCCAACCACTTTCCCTTAAAAATGGTCCATGCCCAGTTGTTAGCAAAACCCATAGGCAGCATTTTGAACTAAGCTTTGAACTCGGACGCAGCGGTGCCCACAGGAGGCGCCACAATGCACCATGGTGGCTAGCTCAAATTGCTGCATGTTGCTTTGAAATATCACGTCAAAAATGTGCAAAAGTATTTATTCATAAGTATTAGTTCGTATCAATTTTTCTACCTGTCGCTCATTGTTGATGCGAGTTTAGTCTGCATCTGTGAATGACAAGTATCCGCTTTGTTTTCCAGTGATACTCATATGTGGTGGCGCCACTATCGCGGCTCTCACGGTTTTGACACTGCTAGTATGCGGGTTTTGTTGCTACAGACGACAGTAAGTAATTATAATAGAATTTTGCACAGGGGAGATCGAGATAGTAATCCGCTAGGGGACGGCTCTGATTGGCTAATTTTGTCTCTTATTTATTTGATTTTTTATTAATTTTGGCTAATTTTGTTTTATTTTAGAATTAGGGATAGGGTTAGGGTTAGGGTTAGGGTTAGGGTTAGGGTTAGGGTTAACTGATTTCTATATCCACAACTTATTTCTATATTCACTATCTCTCTTCTGATACCTACTAATTATAATATAATAACTAGTGAAGATATGATATAGTGGCTGATGTACCTCCGTGGTATCGAATGATACTGGGGTTAGATAATTAATATGTCAGCAATTCAGAGTGAGGCAGCGTCAAACGCAAACTGATTACGATTTTGTATAAAGCAGCAGACAATTATAATATGTAAATTAGAGCCAAGTTTAACAATCTGATATGGGGTTGGATCCACAATCGTTACGCTAAGAACTCCTCTTAGTAAGAAGCAGCATTTTGATCAGCAGACAGACGTACTAATTTTGCGTCACGCAGTCTTGCTTCTATAAGCTACACTAGAATCAACTAGATAACGTTCACAACTTCAGTTTTCAAAATAATTGACCCCGACGTGATTCGAACACGCAACCTTCTGATCTGGAGTCAGACGTACTAATTTTGCGTCACGGAGTCTTGCTTCTATAAGCTACACTAGAATCAACTATATAACTTTCACAACTTCAGTTTCCAAAATAATTGACCCCGACGTGATTCGAACACGCAACTTTCTGATCTGGAGTCAGACGCGCTACCGTTGCGCCACGGAGTCTTTCTTCTGATTTGTTACAATCAGTATTAATTTTTAACAATACAATTTGCAATATTCAAGAATACATGAAAGTTAAGTTTTCCCAAATTCTTAACCCTAACGTTAATAAAAACACGCAACTTTCTGATCTGCAGTCAGACGCGCTACCGTTGCGCCACGGAGTCTTGCTTTTGCAATGTTATCAACAGCAATATTTTTTTTACAATATTCAATAATGCATATACGGTTCATTAAAGGGACAGTAGCCTCTAGGATTTTACTACATACAACTGTACTTACTGTATAACAAATCGTCTATACCCACACGTATTTGTTACCAGATACCTAATTTAATTGTTATAATTAATTACACATCAACGCTACGAAATTTGAACGGCGCCATAACACCCGCGACCGTGCTGCCACCCCGGAAAATTTGCGTATTTGACAATTTATTTTGCACGTTACAGACCGAGGGCTAATCGCAAAAGTGCAATTATATTTATACCTAAATGCTATTTAACCGAACGATATTCATTTTAGGGCAAATTTATCCATATTATAACTGAAACTATATGTCGTTTATAAGATATTACAATCCTTTTGCTTTTAAATGAATAAATAAGAAACACCCTCGGTCTGTAGCCCTGGGCTGGAAAGTGGTTTTGCGCAACTTATCAGATCGTGCGCTTTGAGTGGCGCCACCGTCGTTATAATCAAACTGTAGTCGTTAGTTTTAAAACATGAAAAAAAAACATTTCTAATGGTGATTGAACCATGAAACTTTTTATGTAGCGTAATTATAACCTAAATTAGCTGAAAATAACCCTAGAACCTAGAGTAAACTCTCCCTTTAACAACTCTATTTTTCCATAATAATTGACCCCGACGTGATTCGAACACGCAACCTTCTGATCTGGAGTCAGACGCGCTACCGTTGCGCCACGGAGTCTCACGGATGAATTTCTTTCAACCAATATGTTTGCAATATTCAAGAATTTATGAAAGGTTTACTAAAAGTTCAGTTCTCCAAAATTCATAATTCTATCCTAACTAGAACTATATGATAGTGATTAATACCCCCGCAATACCGCTTTATCGGAGGTAAAATAGAAAATTATGGTGTGGACCTTCAAGATGAGATACTGTTTCCATGGCAACGCCTTGACCGACGCACACACAAAATATGTCACGCACATCTACCTGTCATGGTGATCAAGTGTATGAAGTTTGATTGGAATCCCTTGAAAACGATGGAAGAAGTTCGAGCTACAAACCTTTTGCAACTGACCGAGCCACCGGGCGACCGACCGACCGACCGACCGACCGACCGCCCGCCCGCCAGATGATTCCTATATACCGCCTTCAAACTTCGTTTGCGGTACGGTTAAGAACACGCAACTTTCTGATTTGGAGTGGGACGCGATACCGTTGCGCCGCGGATTCTTACCAATGAATTATTACCATTAGAATCAGTATTCATTTTTGTTCAAATTGACAATATTCAAGAATTCATGAAACAACATAAGTTTTACAAAATAATTGACCCCGACGTGATTCGAACACGCAACCTTCTGATCTGGAGTCAGACGCGCTACCGTTGCGCCACGGAGTCTTGCTCTTGCATTCCTGTCAACCAATAATTAATGTTTACAATATTCAAGAATGCACATAAGGTTGACCAAAAAGTTTAGTTCGCCAAAATTCATAACCCTAACGTAATGAAAACACGCAACCTGACCTGGAGTGGGACGCGCTACCATTGCGCCGGGAGTCTTGAAACTGTGTTGGTACCCTTACATTTGTTTATTTTCACTTTTTACCGCGCCGTGGTTTCTGAAAGATACGTATATATAGGGTACATTTATCAGCTTGGCTGCATTACGTTGCGCGAGTATCAGATGTGGGTTGGGAACCATGCAGGTGCGTGGCTGCGTTATCGGGGTACGGCAGAGGCAGGCGTTGATAGTGAGATTGGTGCAGCTCATTCACATTTTCGTTGCTTGCATAGGCGCTTGTACGTTGTACGCTTGTATTTCAGAGAATACAATAACTCCCGCAGCAAATGAAGTTAATTTATGAGTTTCTGTACTTTGTTTCTGTTTTTTTCAAATAAACACGCACACACACACATGCACACCCACACACACACACACACACACACACACACACACACACACACACACACACACACACACACACACACACACACACACACACACACACACTACTCTCTCTCTCTCTCTACTCTCTACTCTACTCTCTCTACTCTCTCT